TATCCTGCTGGTTATTGTGAGATATCCATATAAAAGTTCTTTTGAAGAAGACATGCTTATGTGTTCATCGCTGCTTACAAACACTACCGGGGAAGAAATTTTTAATAAAATAAATATATTTTTTGAAGAACATAATCTCAGTTGGAACAATTGCATTGACATTTGTACAGATGGGGCCAAGGCGATGACAGGTAAAACAGCAGGAGCAGTGTCACGAATGAAAAATAAAGCGCCTAATTGTAGTTCCAGTCATTGTATTCTGCATAGACAAGCACTTGCGATGAAGCAAATGCCGTCTAATCTAAAATTAGTTATGGATGAAGCGGTAAAAATAATTAATTTTATCAAATCACGACCACTACAATCCCGATTGTTCTCATTATTGTGTGAAGATTATGGCAGCAAACATAAAACACTGCTGCTCCATACAGAAGTGCGATGGCTGTCTCGGGGAAAAACTTTAACAAGGCTATTTGAACTTAGAGCCGAGTTACAAATGTTTCTTTCAGCAGATACTTCTTTTAATTTGAAGGACCGTTTGTATGATAAAACTTGGTTGTTCCGATTGTCTTTTATGGCGGATATCTTTCAAAAACTTAACGAATTAAATTTATCATTGCAAGGTAAACAGACAACAGTGTTTCAGGCCTATAATAAAATAACTACTTTTAAAAGAAAATTAGATTTTTGGATCATTTGCATTGGTAAGAAAGAAATAGAAAGTTTTACGTTACTCACTGAGTTTGTTAGCGAAAACGACTCAGAAATGTTTGAAGATAATGTGTTTGAAGAATTGGTCCAATATCTCAGTTCGATGCGCGCATCTTTTGAAAAGTATTTTCCCGAAGAACACAATACAAAAATTAAAGTGAACTCCTGGATTCATAATCCTTTTTTACCCAACTTGGAAAAGCCTGAAAACATGTCAAATGAGATATATGAATCTCTTTTAGAAATGTCATCAGACACAAGTATGGAGTCATTGTTCAAAACGACGCCTCTTAATGATTTTTGGTGCAGAATCCAAGATGAATATGCAATGCTTGGCCAAATGGCTCTGGATATTCTTCTCCCGTTCCCAACTACATATTTGTGCGAAACAGGATTCTCTACCTACGCAGCCACGAAAACAAAATATCGCAATAGACTGGACGCCGAAGCTGATATGAGACTCCAACTTTCTTCCATCAAACCTGATATCAAGCAATTGATGAAAAATAAAAAACAGTTTCATACCTCCCACTAGTTAGATTTTTTCTTTTTTAATGTTTTCTATTATTGTCCTTACCAAGTGGTGAAGTAAATAATAATTAGTAACGGATACATTGTACTTTTATTATGCTGATTAATATAGAATACACTTATAAAAATAATTGTTTTATTGTAGGGTTCCATCAAGTATTTTGCTTCCCAAAAGGGTTCCGTCATTTAAAAAGTTTGAGAACCACTGGAGTCTAAAAGATTGGTTTATTAAGATATATAGAGACTTTACCAGCGGGGTCAAGGCTACAGATGGGCCTCAATTTTCGCAAAAATGTGTGAAGTTAAATCAAGTCGTTACATAAATATCTCTAATGTATGTAAATTTTATAGTAAACTAGCACTTACTCAAAAAGTCATCTTTTGTTTATTTTTTTTTAATATTTTAGCAGTAAATATAAAATTCATTTATTTTTATTCGTCGACTATTTAAAATTGGCAGTGGCTGCATTGTCATGTCAATGCCGGACGTCTAAGATTGTGATATACACAAATGCAGTGTCAGTCCCTAGTCTCATAACTTGATATACCTACATAATTCACAGAAACCCAATATGTAGATGCCAGAAGTTAACTTCAAATGTTTTTAATCACCTTATACAATACCAATAAATGACGTTTATGTCGCAGGTTGAAGAAAGCAGTACTTCCCGTTTGTTGTTTTGGACAATGGTGAAAACTGCCTTAGATCACTAAATTAAATAATTATGCAATCACCAAAGCAAAGTTTATAATATTTGATTAAACTAAAGGCGCATAATAAAATTTTCATCACGTTAGGTAGAACACCATAGCAATCTCATTTATTATCAATTTATAGTTCTCTTTGTAGTTTTCTTTTAAAGCGTTCACATATAACAGCTCAAAGACTTTGTGATCGACCCTTTTTATTGGTAGTGTAAAGCTCGAATGAAGAGTACTCCCAGTAGTGCAATCATGGCAATTATTTTCCAATTTTTTTTTGTTTAAAAAAATACCGAAAAACCTATCACTGTTAAGCACAAATGCTAAGTAACTTTTACAAATATAATCAAATAAACCTATTACTTACTTTATTTTTAAATCTTTTTCATCAATTTAATACTTATCTTATCCTAACTATCTATACTAATATTATAAAGAGGCAAGATTTGTATGTTTGTAACAAATAATCTGTCAAACTACTGAACCGGTTTCAAAAATTAATTCATCATAAGATAGCTACATTATTTATTATAACATTTTTCTTTATTTAAATACATTTTGTCCGAGTGACATAGGCTATATTTTATCCCGATAAATAAATTTCGCCCGTACACTGCCCGGGTGGATCACTAGTAAGTATAATATAATATTATAGATGCGAAAGTGAGTTTGTTTGTTGCGCTTCCGTGCCCTAATAGCTAAATCGAATATAATGAATTCCCATATAGAAGTAGATGGGAACTTGGTTCTTAGCTACAACATCGCAATACTTATAGGCGTAGGGTGATGAAAGGGGTGATTTACTTATAAAAATCTACATTGTTTACTTTGAATTTTGCAGAATTATTACAAAACCAATATTATCGGGAGCTGATTAATAAATACAGGGATTCCAATAAGTATGTACTTACTAGCGAAAAATGGGTTATTAGTCATTACATTAAGTAAACCTTTTTTGTAACATTAAGTAATATCGTTAAAAAATGAAAAACAGTAAAATTCTGAGTTTTTCATTGAAATTCAATAATCATAAATACCTATTATGATAATATATTTTTCATCATTTAATCATTTAGAAGAAACTCTATCACAGTTTTATTGTTAGTACTTCGTATAGGATCAGATACTGCGAATAGCCCATTTTTTTCTTTTACATAGTACACTGCGCTATCACTTATTCATCGTTGTAACTTTTTAAATATTTGTCGAAATGACATAGTGTAAAAAGCAAAGTTTATCGTCTTTAAATATCAAAAGAGATAAAAGTATATGTTTTGACAAAAAATGATTTGTTAATACAAAATGTGCATTTTGGAAATATATATCAAATAATATTTTAGTTTTGATTCACTATTTTAGCGGTAATGACTTACACATTAATTACTGTTAAGTTTCATTAAAATCCATTCAGTATTTTTAGGTGAAGGAGTAACAAAGATCCATACAAACGTAAGATTGAAATTAAAAGCGTAAGTGGTTAATATACAACTTTAAAGCTTTGTAGATCCTAAACAATCATATAAAATGAAAAATGGTGTTAGGAACCTAAATATGATTTTTGAATATCTAGACAGTGATACCCCACTCGACATATTTTGTCAACTTATTTTTTTTACTTCGTCACAATATGGCGCCTAATTTCGCCCATATTGAATTTTGATTACTATCATATCTTTAGTAGCACTCCCGTGATTGAGACGAATCGATTGATGTATGAATCATCAAAATCGGTCTAGGCGTTTGGTCTCTAGTGTGCCACAAAGGAACAAACATACATATATAGACTGTTAAACACATAACCCTGTCTGCGCGTCGCGCTTCGCGCTCTTGCATTGCGCAGCCAGGTAAAAATAGGTACATGGTGACACGGACTTTTTTTTAGAACTATTTAAGGGATACATTTTCACTCTACATTACATTCATGTAACTTTTATTATTTTTGCAGTGCAGGCCAAAATGGCTCGCAGATGGGAGATTTTTTTCCGTCTTATGTGACACATATTGTTATAAATTGGCCAATTCACTCAATAACTACATAAATTATTATATATATATGTAATTATCATATATGAGCTATATTACTGTTAAGTTTCATTAAAATCCATTCAGTATTTTTAGGTGAAGGAGTAACAAAGATCCATACAAACGTAAGATTGAAATTAAAAGCGTAAGTGGTTAATATACAACTTTAAAGCTTTGTAGATCCTAAACAATCATATAAAATGAAAAATGGTGTTAGGAACCTAAATATGATTTTTGAATATCTAGACAGTGATACCCCACTCGACATATTTTGTCAACTTATTTTTTTTACTTCGTCACAATATGGCGCCTAATTTCGCCCATATTGAATTTTGATTACTATCATATCTTTAGTAGCACTCCCGTGATTGAGACGAATCGATTGATGTATGAATCATCAAAATCGGTCTAGGCGTTTGGTCTCTAGTGTGCCACAAAGGAACAAACATACATATATAGACTGTTAAACACATAACCCTGTCTGCGCGTCGCGCTTCGCGCTCTTGCATTGCGCAGCCAGGTAATAAACACATAACCCTGTCTGCGCGTCGCGCTTCGCGCTCTTGCATTGCGCAGCCAGGTAAAAACAAATAAGTTTTATAGTAAACTAGGGAAATCAAGCCAAGTACCGAAATTATGGATTAGATTCAGGTATATAGAGCATGTAGATTAACAGATAGTTGCCTGTTTTTAAAGTTAATGCATAAGAGTAATTTTTAAAATCAGGTGTCAATTATGCATTTCCGGTTATAATAAGGTACTCTGTGACAGAAACTGTGTGATGATTGTGATTGAGCCACAGATCACAGAGAATTTTTAAACTCTCGTTAACCAAAGAATGCTAAGAGATTTAGGTTCTATAGCCATATATTCAGTAGCCTAACCATATTTTAGATTTTTAGTGTACCTATCACATCACACCTTATAATTTTAGTTATTTATTAATTTATAGTCAGGCAACGTAGGCCCATAGATAAATACCTTTAAGTCTAACATATATACAGATTATAATGTATTTATGGAGGTGTTTGGCGAAAAATGTATGGCAATAGACTTTATGATGTCGCCTACTATATAAAATAATTGTCTGAGCACATTTGAATGTAGTGAAAACGATAATATAGTTGTGGATATTAATATCACAGTGTAATAAAACAATGATTTATTTTATCGATCTTTACAAAATAGATTTGTTTTTATGTTATAATTATAAACAACTTCGATCAGTCTTTGGCTGAATGTTACTACACCCATAACCATTAAAAATGATTCGTATGTTTTCCAAACCGGTAAAATTAAAAGTCCTTTTTAAAGTAAATATAATATACAAAGGTGTCCGTTGAAATCTAATGACTGTAAATTAAATTATAAATTACGCCAAGAATTACCATGTATGTCAATATTTTTTGTTCATTTGGGCCAATTTGAGCAATCTCCTTTAAAAAATAAAAAACCCGACTGCTTAATTATACTTCTCTTAACTGCTTAATTTAAGTAGTTTTGTTCCTTATTAACAGAATTATAGACTACTGGACTTGTTTTTTTATTTTCAGTTTTTAATTGAAGTATAATTAAGCAGTCGGGTTTTTTGATTTTTGATATTGATTGATATGTAAATTAAAGAAGGAAATAATTTAATTTAACTACTAGGGAAATAATAAGCAAACTTTATGACCATGAAATGGTAATGAAATTTAAAGACAACTCTCTTGCTGAACTATTTCTTTTAAGAGCCCTTTCACATTTTTTGCAATAAATCGCAATTTTTGAGCGCCTCCTTTACCCCCTTAGAAGAGATTTTGACTTCTTCCAATAGAAGTAAACAGTAGATTTATTCTCCCTATTAAAAGTTAATGTAGAATATTTGCAAATACTATTTTCCTTTTTCTGTACTGATCGTTCTACCGCAGCTAGTTTACGGAAAAAACGATAATAAGCACAACTTCAAACGCCTCAATCTCTCAATAATGTTCAATAAATTAGATCAAATTAATTACTACGACATCAGAAATATGTTTTTGTTGTAACAATGTATAAGAATCTTTTTCCAACTCATTAATTATTAAAAAAACATCATAAATATTCTTTTTCCCAAACCAAGGCATAAAGTATAGGTATATTATTATGTGTACCAAAATTCAACCGACTTGGTTTAAATTTGGTTCAGTAGTTTTTGCATGATTGGTGACAAACATACAAACTTTCACATTTATCATATTAGTAGGATGAGAATGTGGTGATTGTGAGAATTATGATCTTTTGATAACAGAAATTGTGATCATCTTTATAAGCACAAGTTAAGGGTTCATTCCGTTAAACACTGAACCTTTGGAATTCGAAAAGGACAATAAATAAAAGAAAATGATTACAGGGGGCCAATCGCCTAACGGGATTGCAATGGCTATCGCTATCACTCATTTTATTTAATACTAGCGGCCGCCCGTGACTTCGTCCGCGTTAACTTTAGTTTTTTTTAATCTCTCAAGAACCTGGACGTTGAAATTATAAAAAATACTTATCAATCAAATCAAAATATCAATCAAAAGTATGATATAAGCACTGGAAATCAATTTCTAAATGAAATCGTTGAGACACAACCTTCAGCAATAGCCAGCTCGCGCGTTCTGAGGCCGCGCGACAGGCAGCCTTTGTGATTGATTCGTTGGTGGGAGAAGTGGTGGGAGGTGCCCGACGTGTCGGCACAGTGGTGGCATGCGCGTGAGCTGCCCGTGGTAGTGAACAGTACTTGAACATTGCAACACTACTCTATTTTTCTAAAAAAAAAGATTTTTTCTAAAATAAAAGTAACCTAAGTTACTCCTTATTACATCAGCTACCTGCCAATAAAAGTCCCGTTAAAATCGGAGCAGCCATTTCAGAGATTAGCCGGAACAAACAGACAGACGGACAGCCAAAAATTGTAAAAAATGATATTTTGGTGTATGTGCCTATAGTAGTAGTAGCCTCCGTGGCCGAGTGGTTTGTACGCCAGGTTTCATGGTGTCGCCGACTCGAGAGGTCCCGGGTTCGAATCCCGGTGGGGGCAGATGTTTGTATGATGAATACGAGCATTTGGACTCCAGTCATGGATGTTTAATATATATTTCTATATGAATATACAATACAATACAATAACTCTTTATTGTACACCACAAAAAATGTTGAACATTAAGTACAAAACCATCTAGTACACGTGATGCATTGGGCGGCCTTATCGCTTAAAGCGTTCTCTTCCAGGCAACCTTTGGATGGAGAGGATTAGAAGGAAGTGGGAGAGACGGCGACTTATATATGTACAGTATATGTATTCTATCCGTTACCCTAGCATCCCATAACACAAGCCTTACAGTGCTTACTTTGGGACTAGGCTAATTGGTGTGTTCGAAAAAAAAATTAATTCAATTTTATTTAAGTATATGTGTAAGATGTATAGATATATAGATTGTTATTACCAACGCAAAAGAAAAGAAAAAGAGCGCGAGTCATTTCAAAACTTTCGGCGGTCAGAAATCACAAAATGACATAGTAAGCGCCATACCAATCCCGTTAGGCGTTTGGCCTCAAGTTCCGCTTTTGTCTCAAAATAATTTGAAATAATGCGCACCCTAATCTGTGTTTTTTAGTCGGCCCGATATTCCGTATTTCCCATCCTCATTGCTATCAGTACTACCTAGATACCTATTTACGGGGTAAGACAAAGTGTTTTAGTTATAAATAAACTCTTAATTAATAAGCGACAGGCAACCAAACAACACGACTACATGCAACATGCGGTTTTATGTAAGTACTTAATTAATTTCTTTATTATATTTTTAACTCAAGATTAGGTATGGGATCAAATAAATACTCAAAATTTCTTCTAAATTCAATAAGGATAACTTGTTTTAATATTTTGCATTACAAGAATTGACTCAAATGTAATATTTATTTTTACAACACACTTACTGAGGAGCTCGATGGAGCAGGTGGTTAGCGCGTTCGGCTACGATCGTTGAAGTTATGCAACTTTCGCAGTGGTCGGTCATAGGATGGGTGACCAAAAAAATTTACTATCTCAAGCTCCTCCGCGCTTCGGAAGGCACGTTTAGCCGTTGGTCCCGGCTGCATCTGCAGTCGTTAGCACCCACCAATCCGCACTGGGCCCGCGTGGTGGATCATGGCCCAATCTCCGTATTCCATCCATAGGGAAGGCCATGTGCGTGTGGACTGAGTGATCTTTTCAAAAAACATCCAACCACAACCAAATTATAAGAGGATTTAGGAAATAATTGTGAAAACTTAATGTTAAGGTAAAAAAATTGTGAAACCTAACCAAAGAAAGTTAGAACTAATTAACTGGATCAATCAATCTGGACACCTGAAGAATAAGCCATAACGCGTATACAAGAAAATACTATGTGTTTATAATTTGTATTTGAAATAATTGTGAAGAATTTGTGAAAGCTGCTAAACAAATTTTCGATCCATTTCAAAGCCACGTTTAAGATTTAGAACGGTTTATATGGATCACTCAGAATACACTATGTTCATTTGAGTGATCTTTTAAAACACTAACTTATACTGAAAAAGTATGAAAAATTATCATGTTTGTTATAAATTATGCTTCTGGGAAAATTTGTGGGAAACAAAGTTCGGGATTGAAATCTTACTGGTTTAAGAGAAAATGAAAATCTTGTTTTTCCTCAATCATCCCAACTGAGTGATCCTTATCTTGAACTATATTTAATAAACCCAAACTTATAGGTAGAAGGTAGTTACATCAGAAATTGTGAAAAAAGTTGTACTAAAATTTGACGAACCAATCGTCCCAGTAAGTGTTATATTTTAAAAGATAACTCATTTTTTACAATCCTTAAGGAAAACGTTGAGTAGGGTGACCATATAGGTTTACTTGGGTACCGCGAGTTGTGTAAGTTTTGTTTTTAGAAGTTTTAAAGATGTTTTTATAGTGTTTTCACTACTTAATACATAATTTCAACATAAAATTACGTTTTTAAGTGACAAATTTTCAGCAAAGTTAGGTATTGTCACACTGTATTAGGTACAAAAAAAAAGATCAGAATTTTTTAAGTAACCAAAGAAATTAACTTTTTATTATTCTAAGTTTTTTTCTAACAGTCATAGTCTACTAAAATGTTAAATAATCGATAAATCCGTAGGACAAAGTATGTAAAATAAGTAGTTCTTCTTCTTTGCTGTTATACATTTTTCCCATCAAATCATCATAACAGACTATTTTTTCGTTATGGACACCATGTCCTCTGTAGTGGCCAATATTATCGGGACTTCATTCATTGCACTGCCACCGTCATTACCCCATTGTGGCACAACGATGCCTAATATCAAAGTACTTGCTCGATGCTTTGGATAGGTTACAGCGGCGCGCGATCCGCATTATAGGCGATGAGGAGGTGACTAAACACCTTGAGCCTCTTCAATTACGCCGTGACGTGGCGTCACTAAGCGTGTTCTATCGTCTGTGTGGTACAGACAAGTGTTCTAAGGAGTTATTCTCTCTCATTTCACCTTCCCCTTTCCTTCAGAGGACCACGCGCGCTGGCCTACGTTGCCACTGCCTAACTGTGGCCACAATTCCAACGCGTACAAAGAAATTTGGTGACTTATTTCTTTGTCGCACTATCCATAAATGGGATGCTCTGCCCGCTCACGTGTTCCCTCCCTCTTACAACCTGGGATCCTTTAAAAGAGGCGTGAAGAAGCAACTCGCAGGCCGGCAGGGTGAAGATAGCTGGTGTGGCAGGTAAAACTGCTGTATCTGCTATCTTCGCATCTGGACTTTACCTTCACTTAACATCAGGTGGGATGCAGTCATTTGTCGGTCCTATCTATATAAATAAAAAAACTATAAACAAACTTCATTGCATTAGATGCACTGCACAACGCCGCCAGCTTCGCAAATTGCAATGAATATACACAATGTTAGCATTGAATAGGGTAGTCGAAAAAAAATCCGACAAAATAAAAAAGCACAAGTACCCTACTCAACGTTTTCCTTAAGGATTGTAAAAAATGAGTTATCTTTTAAAATATAACACTTACTGGGACGATTGGTTCGTCAAGTACAACATTTTTCACAATTTCTGATGTAACTACCTTCTACCTATAAGTTTGGGTTTATTGAAAGTCAAACGAACTTACCTGTAAGTGACGTTCGACTTATATTATACGATGTGATTCGCCCGAGAGATTACATTGACACACTTGTAGTAGCACGCATTATGTGCTGCCATCGTACACAATTTTAGAGCAACATTAACCTTTGCCTAAAAAATATAACAAAAAAAATATAAAATATGCGTTCGCACTGGGGGTAACTCCACATATTCATACACGTTTGGACTAAAGCGGTCCATTGGTTCTTGCTATTTCGTGTGACCATGGGTAAGATCTAGATATCTTCATAGAATAGCTGATCAGGGACAGGGAGGGTGTGTAATCTCTCGGGCGAATCACATCGTATAATATAAGTCGAACGTCACTTACAGGTAAGTTCGTTTGACTTTCAATTATACTTCTGTGATTCGCCCTTCGAGATTACATTGACACACTTGTAGATGTTTAAAGCTACACGAAATAGCTGACTTTTAGATACTAATGTAAATTAATATAGTACCACTTGATTTGAGAATAAAATAAAATACTATTATTTAGCTCTAGATAGGTAATTTAAAAATCTATTTAAAATGTTTGTAAAGAGAGCGAGCAAAAAAGGCCGAGTTATTTTTGGATACTTCTCTATTGTAAAATTTCGCACTTGTCCAATCCGCAGTTTTCTTCATAAGCTGTATACTAACTTCTGGCTTAGTATCAGGTAAAGTAGCAGCACGTATCGTGCTATAAGAAGGTGATTATGTCTATTCCGCTGTCTGGTAGAGTTGCAAAGATACAGCGACTCGAAGTCTATGAACTAAATAATAATATTAGTAAAAAAATAAAAACACATTCCCATTGCCTCTTCACTGCTGAAACATTGAAATAGTATTCCAAGATTTTTGGCTAGACATATTGAAGGTACATCGTTATAATAAAGTCAGTAAATGATAAGCTCGATTTATAGTTGAAGACTTAATCTTATCAGTGATATTTAATTTTGAAACTTTCATTAGTATACAAATTAATATTTGACTTGATTATAAATAAAATAAGTATCTTATGAGCAATAAAAAGAGCCAAAGAGTTATTACCTATTATTAAAAAAAAAACAGCTTTATAAAATGCTATCACATGGGTCCAAGTTTCCTCTTTATATAATTATGCACCCTACTTGGGATTCAAGTAGTACTAGTAGTACCCGTGACAGTATATTTTGGTGACAGGGTACGAAATTTATAAATTTCTTCACATAAACCATTTGACAAGAATATTGTTCATAATTTCTGAATTTATTTTAATAATGACATAACCGATTTTGTGCTGTCATTTATGCTAATTTTCTTTTTCTTATTGAGATATCCCAGACCACAGCGTTTCAAAAAATAGTACATAATTTTATCCACAAAAACAGTGACATTGTTTCAAACGAGCATTGTATTGTTACAACCTGCTATCAGGTATTGATGCTAACATAATATCCGCGACGTCCAGAGAATAACCTTGTTTTATGAACGGTATCCTAATAGTACTGTGACCACCAGGGCAGTTTGTGTTCTTCATCCTTTTCTAATTAATCGTCCCGCAAATAATTATATCTGAGGCTGTGCTAATGTTTTACAAAATTACTGATTTTCGTCATTAGCAAGCTCCCACCACATCAGCGTGTATTATACTTAACTCTGCAAGCGTATCATATTATTATTATCTTTGGAGCTAATATTAGATGCAAGGAAACAGTTTTTTTTTTTTTTTTTGCTGTCAATTATCCCTGCTTAAACTGTGTGAGGAAACTGAATGCTTGTCTATTCGGTGAGATTATATATGCGTAAGAGTATTTCGTAGTCTTTTATGTCTTTTGCAAATATTTTAAGACCAAAAATGTTTCTCTTGTTTCGACCGCTGTCCACAGGCAGTCTGATTTGAGCAAGTATATCTGATTGTCTCCCGAACGTATTTGGTTGTCAGACCCATCAATATTACATGGCGAAGATTTGCCTAGTAAAGAGGTTGATAAATCTATGTATTTTTGCTATAAAAGGATGCAGTTGAACTAGGTGTATTACGTACCCACACTTTTTTCTGTTAATCGTAAAGATTAATGACTCCAATATAAACTTTTGTGAATTCGTAATCTTGTTTACATTGCGCAAATATTGCAGTTTGAGTCGCATAAATTTTTAAAAAATATACGTCACAATATTTAAGCCGAAAAAGGTAAAACTTAGAGCTTTCTGTAGATCAAATCGTAAAATCGTCTTTTAAAACTAAAGAACACACAAGGCGGTATCTCATGATTTTTTTTCATTTGCAGTTCTATAACCCTCAAGCTTAGTGTGTAATAATCAGGTATAATATAATTATTTAATGCCATTCGGTTTCGAAAAAGGCCTTTTTTTTTTTTACTGGTACATTTTTAAATAAGAAAAATACTGACAAGAATTGACCCTCATAGGGATCAAACACCACAATGATTGTGCCGACACTTATACAATGATCTCCTACTAATAGGTATTCAATTCATCTGCTTTAAAAACCGATTTTATTTAGAGAGCAGTTAGCAAAGGCCAAGAAACTGCCGGATGTCCGAATACGTAGTCCGGACACCCAGGAAGACAAAAGGATCATTAGTGAATTTACGCCAATAATTATATGTGTATTAAAAGAATGTTATCTACCAGCCTGAGTATTCCCAGTGCTCCTGGTGTTGGTGACGGCTGCTGATTCTAGCGGCGCAGGGAGCAGGCTGGAAACACTGGCGGTGCTGGTGGGTCCTGTTGTATTGATGCGGCCGGACCTCAGCTGCATGCGCTGAGGTGCCGGTAGTGCCAGCATAGGTGGTGAGCCCCTCCAGTTTAAAGCTTCCGGAGTCGAGTGGACGCTTCCACAAACTTGTGTTTTCGTAGCGGTTTTGACTTCCTTGATATCGCAGGTAGTCACCATGTCATAACTCTTCTGTTGGGGAATCCTCACAGAAACTTATCGAAAAAGCTGACTCGATACATTTCGTGCCAAATACTTTGAATCTGTGATAAAAATGGAGGCGACACGTATTTTAAAAATTACGTCATTCAAAATATTTGTTTCAAAGTAACACATAACTTATTTTCATTTCTTCGTAATATTGAAATACCGTGTAAATACCGTTCAACGAAACAGCAATTGTTGGGTTAATTTACCCTAAACTGTGGCCAGAGAAACAGCTCGCAGGATGCTGGGCACTCGACACAAAATGTTTTTTGCGAAAAACGCAAAGGTGAGTTTAAGTTCTGTTTCTCGTTAATTGCAGGTTCAATAGGTAGTTGCAATTTTTCGCATTACAGTGAACACTCCTTGAGTAATGTCGAAGTACGTGAAGGAAACAGCCCCATTGTGCTGTTCGCATCACAAAACATGTTCATGTTAAAAGAATATAGTTTACAAATGCCCAATTAACGAGTAGTAATTTCGATGGACATGAAGGAAGCAGTAAATTTTATTTAATATAGGTATAACTTAAATATTTTTGTGAAAAAAATAATCCCAAAAAAATATTCACATCACACAGTGAACACTCCTAAGTTTACATAACATATTATTTATGTATTATTGCGAAGGAAATGATTCCAAAAACCATTCGCATCATAGTTAACACTACTTTCCACAAGTTAACACAATTAAAAGTGTATTTTCATGAATTTAATAATACCAAAAGGCATTTGCATCATGTTTTACGTTGCACAATTTGTTTAATGTTATTTACTTCAATAGTGTCAGAGTATGTGACAGAAACAGTCCCATGTACTGCTCGCATCACGAAATAAGTCATAGGATTATATTTGATGTCATTACTTCTGTAATGTCGAAGTACGTGAAGGAAACAGCCCCATTGTGCTGTTCGCATCACAAAACATGTTAAAGGAATATAGTTTACAAATGCCCAATTAACGAGTAGTAATTTCGATGTACACGAAGGAAACAGTAATTTTATTTAACATAGGTATAACTTCCATATTTTTTGTGAAGGAAATAATCCCAAAAAAAAATATTCACATCACACAGTGAATACTCCTTAAGTTTACATAACATATTACTTATGTATTATTGTGAAGGAAATGATCCCAAAAACTATTCGCATCACAGGCAACACTACTTACCACAAGATAACACAATTAAATGTGTATTTTCATGAATTTAATAATTCCAAAAGGCATTTGCATCATGTTTTACGTTGCACAATCTATTCAATGTTATTTACTTCAACAGTATCCGAGTACGTGATAGAAACAGTCCCATGTACTGCTCGCATCACAAAATAAGTCATAGGATTATATTTGATGTCATTACTTCTGTAATGTTGAAGTACGTGAAGGAAACAGCCCCATTGTGCTGTTCGCATCACAAAACATGTTCATGTTAAAAGAATATAGTTTACAAATGCCCAATTAACGAGTAGTAATTTCGATGGACATGAAGGAAGCAGTAAATTTTATTTAATATAGGTATAACTTAAATATTTTTGTGAAAAAAATAATCCCAAAAAAATATTCACATCACACAGTGAACACTCCTAAGTTTACATAACATATTACTTATGTATTATTATGAAGGAAATGATCCCAAAAACCATTCGCATCACAGGCAACACTACTTACCACAAGTTAACACAATTAAAAGTGTATTTTTATGAATTTAATAATTCCAAAAGGCTTTTGCATCATGTTTTACGTTGCACAATTTATTCAATGTTATTTACTTCTATAGTGTCCGAGTACGTGACAGAAACAGTCCCATGTACTGCTCGCATCACAAAATAAGTCGAAGGGTTATATTTGATGTCATTACTTCTGTAATGTCGAAGTACGTGAAGGAAACAGCCCCATTGTGCTGTTCGCATCACTAAACATGTTAAAGGAATATAGTTTACAATCTAATAATTCTCTTTACAAGATGTAAATAGATTTTTGGAAGATGATGATTCCATCGGATTATAGCAACTAGGTACTTGGTATTGTTTAATTTCACCTTGAACTTTGTATTTTTAAAGATTTATGTAATGTAAGTACCTCTGAGTGTGAATCCAACAAACTTCTTTTTGGTTTTAATTTTCCACCTTGCGCAAATCTTTAATATTCAGATATTTAAAGTCCTGTATACACTTTTTTCGCACTTTAAATATAAAAAAATAAGTAACATTATTACATAAAAGTTAAATAAATTAAACGCAAACGCAAAATTACGTGCACGATGGCCGCGACACAAAACGTGTATGAATATGTGGAGTTACCCCCAGTGCGAACGCATATTTTATATTTTTTTTGTTATATTTTTTAGGCAAAGGTTAATGTTGCTCTAAAATTGTGTACGATGGCAGCACATAATGCGTGCTACTACAAGTGTGTCAATGTAATCTCGAAGGGCGAATCACAGAAGTATAATTAAATATAGTTCAAGATAAGAATCACTCAGTTGGGACGATCGAGGAAAAACAAGAGTTTCATTTTCTCTTAAACCAGTAAGATTTCAATCTCGATCTTTGTTTCACAAATTTTCCCAGAAGCATAATTTATAACAAACATGATAATGTTTCATACTTTTTCAGTATAAGTTAGTGTTTTAAAAGATCATTCAAATGAACATAGTGCATTCTGAGTGATCCATATAAACCGTTCTAAATCTTAAACGTGGCTTTGAAATGAATCGAAAATTTGTTTAGCAGCTTTCACAAATTCTTCACAATTATTTCAAATACAAATTATAAACACATAGGTAGTATTTTCTTGGACACGCGTTATGGCTTATTCTTCAAGTGTCCAGATTGAGTGATCCAGTTTAGTTGTAACTTTCTTTGTTTAGGTTTCACAAATTTTATACTTTACCATTAAGTTTTCACAATTATTTCCTAAATCCTCTTATAATTTGGTTGTGATTGGATGAGTTTTTTGAAAAGATCACTCAGTCCACACGCACATAGAAGGCCTGTGCCCCAGCAGTAGGGACATTAATAGGCTGATGATGACAACACACTTACAATATTATATTAATACATAATATACTGTACCTACATAATATGCTGGAGATGCCTCCTAAAGATTCCGTGGACAATTTCTTTACCAATGTATTCATCCTCAAAGAGCTTCGTGTTAAAGACAGACTCTCGTCAACTGTGCAACTACGAATACTGAAGTTCTTTGGACACATCTCTAGAAATGAGAATTAGGCCAGATGGAAAGCAAGAGAGCACGCGGTCGATCACTAACCCGCTGGATAGACGCCATCACAAAGGCTACTGAGTCCACCATGGTTCAGTGTACTCGCGACGCCTCGAACCGTCAGAAATGGAAGCACATCGCCAGGAGAGCTACCCTCGGAATTGATAGCGACCAAAGAACACCCCACCATGTACTTCGTCAGTGCAACCACGACCACTCTGACAAGAGTGCCCGACTAAGAAGAAGATGCTGTACCTCGAAAACCTCGTAGGGTAAAACCTGGGTACCAGCGATTCACATTCTTTTAGATTTAGGTATATAATGGAGTGACGGGGCAATGCACGAAAAAATAAGTTGTCTCCGTCAGTTAGATTATAGAAAAATTATGTATACTATTTTTTTTTTAATTTTACGCAAAATAGGCACTGCGTGTGGAGTTGCGGAAACAGCCCGCCGTTTTTCTTCTACTACTTCTATCCAAAAATAAACAAAGATAAAGCGTTTCAAAGTTTGTAGTTGGAGAGTGGGGGCTCGCGACGACACTAACATGGGCAAAGCCAAGGTAGGGCAGGGTGGAGCGCTTGCCCCACGCTTTTTTTTCGATGACCGAGAGAAGAAAATGCATTTTAACCACGACAATCGATCTACGCGTTAAAATTTTGTGTCTTACAGAATAGACGCTGATCTGCGTGGAATTTTCTTTGTCGTACTATTCGTAAGTGGAATTCTGTACCCACGCAAATGTTCTCTCCTTCCTATAATCTGGGGTCCTTTAAGAGTGGCGTGAAGAAGCATTTTTGCGGGCCGGCAAGGTGAGGATGATTGGTGTAGCAGTTTATAACTGCTGTACCAGCTATCTTCGCCTTTGGACTTTATCACCACTTAACATCAGGTGGGATAAAGTCATTTGCCTACCACTATATATAAAAAAAAAACTAGTAAAATATTCTTTCGATTTAAATAAATGTGTAGTACATTCCTAATGTAAAATTTTATAATGCCGTAATGGACTTATTATTCATTCTTATTTCAGATGCTACTATGTGTTGTGTTAATTGGGAAAGCAGATGCTCAATCAGATGCTGCACCGATGGATTGCTCCAAATATTTTACGACGACCACAACTAGGGTGTACAGTAAGTGTAATAATAATACCTTTTTTTAACTCGCTTGTATTTATGTGTCTATTAATAATAAATGGATTTTCTTGCACTTACGTCTAAAAAATATAATGTTCAAAGTTATTTATTGTGAAATCCTCTAATTCCAATCCTTCAAATGCAATCCTCTAAAGCCAACCCTTATCACTTAGGGATATAAAAAAGATAAATTTAAAAAATCAAAAATCCCGACTGCTTAATTATACTTCAAATAAAAACTGAAAAGAAAAAAACAAGTCCAGTAGTCTATAATTCTGTTAATAAGGAACAAAGCTACTTTAACAGTCGGGACCCATTAGATATTCAAGAATACATAATATTTTTCAACAGTGGGTCCCGACTGTTAAAGCAGCTTTGTTCCTTATTAACAGAATTATAGACTACTGGACTTGTTTTTTTCTTTTCAGTTTTTATTTGAAGTATAATTAAGCAGTCGGGATTTTCTTTTTCTTTTTTATTTCACACTTTTTAGTTAGTTAGTATTTTAAGACGGTATATACCGTAGTCTTGTTACTTCAGTAAGGGAATTAATATCGCGGGAATTATTAAGTACCTTGCGGACTTTACCAGCGAGGTCAAGTCTACAATCAATTTTCTCAAAAATGTGTGAAGTTATCAAGTCGTTACATAAATATCTCTAATGTATGTAAATTTTATAGTAAACTAGCACTTACTCAAAAAGTCATCTTTGGTTTATGTTTTTTTTTTAAAAGTTTAGCAGTAAATATAAAATTCATTTACTTTTATTCGTCGACTATTTAAAATTGGTAGTGGCTGCATTGTCATGTCAATGCCGGACGACTAAGATTGTGATATACACAAATGCAGTGTCAGTCCCTAGTGTCATAATTTTATATACCTACATAATTCACAGAAACCCAATATGTAGATGCCAGAAGTTAACTTCAAATGTTTTTAATCACCCTATATACAATACCAATCAATGACGTTTATGTCGCAGGTTGAAGAAAGCAGTAATTCCCGTTTGTTGTTTTGGACAATGGTGGCAACTGCCTTAGATCACTAAATTAAATAATTATGCAATCACCAAAGCAAAGTTTATAATTATAAATATAATCAAATAAACCTATTACTTACTTTATTTTTAAAGCTTTTTCATCAATGAAATACTTATCTTATCTATACTAATATTATAAAGAGGCAAGATTTGTATGTTTGTAACAAATAATCTGTCAAACTACTGAACCGGTTTCAAATATTAATTCATCATAAGGTAGCTACATTATTTATTATTACATTTTTCTTTATTTAAATACATTTTGTCCGAGTGACATAGGCTATATTCTATCCCGATAAATAAATTTCGCCCGTACAATGCCCGGGTGGATCATTAGTAAGTATAATATAATATTATAGATGCAAAAGTGAGTTTGTTTGTTGCGCTTCCGTGCCCTATAGCTAAATCGAATATAATGAATTCCCATATAGAAGTAGATGAGAACTTGGTTTTTAGCTACAACATCGCAATACTTATAGGCGTAGGGTGATGAAAGGGGTGATTTACCTATAAAAATCTACATTGTTTACTTTGAATTTTGCAGAATTATTACAAAACCAATATTATCGGGAGCTGATTAATAAATACAGGGATTCCAATAAGGATGTACTTACTAGCGAAAAATGGGTTATTTGTCATTATATTAAGTAAACCTTTTTTGTAACATTAAGTAATATCGTTAAAAAAATTAAAAACAGTAAAATTCTGAGTTTTTCATTAAACTTCAATAATCATAAATACCTATTATGATAATATATTTTTCATCATTTAATAAGAAGGAACTGTATTACAGTTTTATTGTTAGTGCTTCGTATAGGATCAGATACTGCGAATAGCCCATTTTTTTCTTTTACATAGTACACCGCACTATCACTTTGTCATCGTTGTAACTTTTTAAATATTTGTCGAAATGACATAGTGTAAAAAGCAAAGTTTATCGTCTTTAAATATCAAAAGCGATAAAAGTATTTGTTTTGATAAAAAATGATTTGTTAATACAAAATGTGCATTTTGGAAATAAATATCAAATAATATTTTAGTTTTGATTCACTATTTTAGCGGTAATGACTTACACATTAAAAATAGATATATGGTGTCACGGACTCTTTTTTAGAACTATTTAAGAGATACATTTTCACTCTACATTACATTCATGTAACTTTTATTGTTTTTGCAGTGCAGGCCAAAATGGCTCGCAGATACGAGATTTTTTTCCGTCTTATGTGACACTTATTGTTATATATTGGCCAATTCACTCAATAACTACATAAATTATTATATATATGTAATAATTATATATGAGCTATATTACTGATAAGTTTCATTAAAATCCATTCAGTATTTTTTAGGTGAAAGAGTAACAAAGATCCATACAAACGTAAGATTGAAATTAAAAGCGCAAGTGGTTAAAATACAACTTTAAAGCGTTGTAGATCCTAAAAATCATGTAAAATGAAAAATGGTGTTAGAAACCTAAACATGATTTTCGATTATCTAGACAGTCATACCTAGGGTTGCAACGATATATCGGAATATCGATAATATCGAGACCAAAATATCGATATTTAAAATTCACTGATATCGATATTATCGATATCGGAAATTCCAAAATATCGATATTTCGTAGACTAAATTTAAACACAATAATATCAATTAATTTACCTGCTATGACTATCTAAATTGAATAATATCGAAATAACTATTGCTTTGAAATCGCAAGAGCTTATAGATGTATTAAAAAAATCTTAAACCCCAAGAAATATACTAAACTGGTGTGGATTCTGGCATGATTCTCTCAACCTAAAATTAAATTTGACAACAGTGTATTCTGTATAGAGAATGACAAGGAGAGACTGATGTTAAATTTAGTTTTAAGTTTAGATAATCATGCCAGAATCGACACCAACGTATATAGGTATAATCGTATACCTAACGGTAACTCATACACTTAAATAAAATCCTGGCATCTCTTTCTAGATAATTGTCAACTACTGATTAATTGAAATTAAATATCATTGTAATATAACACAAAATAAAATTAAGAATCTTATACAAATCGTAAATTTTTAAGCTCGCCAAGTCAAGAAAGTAAGATAGGTATAGTAATTTTTGAAGCTTTGGGCTTGCCCTATTCTGAAGCCATGGGCACGCCCCTGATGTGTGGGAGACTAAGCAATTTGCGTATTTGATGTGCGCTAAAAAACCGACATAGCTTGGAAAAGCACGAATGTAGTGAAAACTTAGTGAAGGCATTCGCAAATGTCGTCCCACATATGCGGGTTGGCGCATTCGTGCTAACAAATGTGAGTGATCTGATCAGAATAATAATTTTAATTTTTTGGTTTCCCTTCGTGGCTGAAACATAAACAGTGCGAGCCAAAAAAAAATCCTGCTTGGCGCGATTTCATCAAGCGTGTTTAATGAAAAAGCTGGCTCAATGCATTTTGCGAGAAACTCGCCAACAAACATATGAATGTGTCACACTCAGCCCGTATTGTAATGTCAATAAAAAAAAAGAAAAAAATATCGATATATCGATAATATCGAGTTAAAATGGTCGATATATCGGATATCGATATTTTCCTGACTTCGATATAAATATCGATATAATATCGATATTTCAAAAGACTTTGCATCCCTAGTCATACCCCACTCGACATATTTTGTTAACTTATTTTTTTTACTTCGTCACAATATGGCGCCTAATTTTGCCCATATTGAATTTTGATTACTATCATATCTTTAGTAGCACTCCCATAATTGAGACGAATCGATTGATGTATGAATCATCAAAATCGGTCCAGGCGTTTGGTCTCTAGTGTGCCACAAAGGAACAAACATACATATATAGACTGTTAAACACATAACCCTGTCTGCGCGTAGCGCTTCGCGCTCTTGCATTGCGCAGCCGGGTAAAAAATATAGTAGGTAGCCGATTCTCAGACCTACTGAATCTATATATTATTATATAAGACTCAAAGGTGACTGACTGACATAGTGATCTATCAACGCACAGCCAAAACCACTGGGCGGATTGGGCTGTTTGGCATGCAGGTAGATGTTATGACGTAGGCATCCGCTAAGAAAGGATTTTGATCAATTCTACCCCCTTGGGGATAAAATAGGGAATGAAAGTTTGTATGAAACTTTGTCAATTTTAAACCGATCGGTTTGAGACTTTGCATGCAGGTATAAGAAGAGTCATAGATGAATGTCATTGTGTATAATACAAGCCTGAGAACAAAAACTGTAGTCTACACTTCAGCTCTGCACCGAAGCGCAGCTAGGGCGGGCCGCTAGTATGCATATAAAATTTCATAAAAATCGGTCTAGCCGTTTCGGAGGAGTATGGTACCTAACTAACATTGTGACACGAGTTTTTTTTAAATAATATACTAATAAATTTACTTTTAAAATCAACTTCTCTATATAAGCTGATTTTCTGAGTCAATCATAAAATGCTGTCGTAACTTTAATTGCTTGTACTGTACAATTAATGTCACTTAGCCTGTTTTCCCCCTGAGCCCTTCAAATATATTAAATAAACATAATCTTAATCTTAACATTATGTTTTTATTAAAAAAACGCTATAGTAAAATAATATAATATACGAAGGGATGAATGGGGAAAATGTGTTATTTAATAAAAAATAAATATAGGTAAACCGTATATATATTGGGTGATATATTTTTTATTTTGTAAATTATTTATTTATGTAGGTTAGTAGGTTAAGCTATATAGTTTTTAAGTTTGTGTTATTTTAATGTATTGTATTATAATAATAACTATATTTTATTAAGGTAAACCGTATATCGCGGAATTTTGGGGTTAAGGTCGCACTGACCGCGGTCCGCGGATAAACATGACTGATATGCACTAACCTTCTTATATATTAAATGATAAAAAATAATTATATAACTATATTTTTTTTATTTAATGAAAATCTTAGAATCTTACT